AGCCTGGAGCCTGCTTCAGATTCTGTGTCTCCCTCTCTTTCTGAACATCCCCTGCTCACATTCTGTCTCTCTCTCTTTCTAAAATATGTAAAACATTAAAAATGATTTTAAATAAAAAAATAACTAAAATAAAATAAAATGGGAGGCTGAAGAAATATCGTATGGGGAGGCAGACTAATGTTGAGATGGTCTAGAGGTAGGAGATGACTTCATTGATGTTCCCTCACCTAAAATGTAGTTCCCTCTAAGTAGGCCTGACTAACTTCTGTGTCTGAGGCTGACCAAGGAGCCTGGCACACTGTGGGTTCCCCTTAAGTGTTTCAGGATGGAGGCTGTACTCAGGACTAGATGTGGCAGTGTTCTCTTCCAATGTGATTTTGGGGACTGACTGAGGAACAAGAGCCTTATCATCCATGCTTTTCTTCTCCCTACATCCCCTCTCCTCCTTTGCTTTGATGGGGTGGGTACCAACAGACTTCTTTCTGGTCCAGGGGCCACAAACTCCAATGTCCTGCCTTGGTGACTGGGGCAACCAGGCTCAGCTCCAGCTGGCCAAATTCTTGGTCCCAAATTCTTCCTGGTTTTTAAATGTTAGTTATTCAGTTTTTTTTTTCAAATCACTGTGGCAGTCAAACAAAACCATCTGTGAGCAGGTGGTGGCCCCAGGCTACCAGGTTTGGCATTCTGAAAACTGTCCCTCTCTCCCACTGTACAGATGAGAAAATTGAGGCCCAGGGAGCCGGAGGCATTTGCCAGAAGTGACACAGTCAAGATCAGAACCCAAGTCCCAATTGTCCCCTACTTTTTTCCTCTGTCCTCTCCCTCCTTCTCTTTCTCCTTCTCTGTCTCTCTCTGTCTCTGTCTCTCCCTGTGTCTCTTTGGTGTTTGTCTCTGCTCTCAGTGTGCCTCTTTCAGTCTTTGTCACTATCTCCTATCCTCTCCTGTGTGTCTCGTTTTAACGGTGTGATTCGCTATCTCTCTGCCTCCCTCTGTCCTCTCCATGAGCGTTCTCTTAGACAACAAACCTTCGGAGCCGGGTGCAGAAGCGACCCAACATCAGCACCCCAGGCTCCGGCTCGCGCCTCGTCTTCGCCCCCGCCGCCCCCGCCTCGTCTTCGCCCCCGCCGCCCCCGCCGCCCGCGCCGCCCCCGCCCCAGATTTCCGGGGGAGCTGGCGGGCGGGGTACCCACGGGGCCGCTGCCGTCAGCGCCCCTTCCCGGCGTCCGCGACCCCTCCCCGCTGACCTCACCCGCGCCTCCGCCCCGCGCAGATATAAGCAGCGGCCCCTCCGAGAAGCGGGCAGCGGGGTCCGGGTCCTGCCAGCGCTCCCCGCCTCCTGATCCGCCGGCTCTAGGCCCCAAAACTCCGAACTCGGAGCCCCAGGATCTCGGACCGGTCCCGCGGAGCTCGCGCCCGGCAGGTAACCATCTCTGTTCCCTCGCCTCCCCGCAGGAGCGTCCGGGAGCACTGGAAAGGGAGCCCTCTCCACCAGCCCTCGATGAGGCCGGGAAGAAGCCGCGGCTTTTGTCCCCCGAGCGCCTCCCGGAGCGTGGCACCCGCGCACCGGCTGGGGCGCTGCGCTCATACCTCCCGGGGCTTCCACAGCGCGGGCCGCGCACTGGACGAGGCAGCTGGTGGTGCGGGCACACTGGTGGCTTTCACTCCTGTGCGCTCACGTACCGGCCTCTGCAACGCTCGGCGCCCAGTGTCGGTAGGATGGAAAGTTCTCCATCCCACCCCTGCCTAAATGGCAGCTGTAGGTCCGCGCCGGGACGTCGGGGCAGAACTGGGCAGAGCTGGGTGTCCGGCGTCAGAGCCTGAGGGTTAGAATCCGAATCCTGACGTTAGAGACTGATTTTCGCGTTGGACTCGAATCTTAGCCTTAGAGTGTCGGCCTCAGTGTTAGAAACAATTTCACCGTTGAAATTAGGATTTCAGAGTCAGAACTGGTGGTTTCCTAGCTTAGCCAAAGAATCTTAGCATTGGAAATAGAATCTAAGAGTTGGAATTGGAACGGTGACATGGGAATTCGAATGTTGGGAAAGGAGCGTTGGACCAAAAATGTGGCGCCGGGAAGAATCTTAGCCTGCGACGCAGGAATTAGCATTGTGGCCGTCGGGCCCCCGCGCTCTTGGTGGCTACACTCCTGGCGAGCCTGCAGCGCGCTGGCTTCCCCAGCTCCGGGTGACACTGAGGAGTGGCGGTGGCGATGGGGTTCCCACGGCTTCCAGGCTCGCGCAGGCACAACTGGGCGCGGGCAGGTACTCCAAGCATCTCTGTGGGTGAGGACACTCAGAGCCTGAGGCTGCCCCTACCCCACCCTAAGGTAGCAGGTGGTCCTGGCCACAGGAGGGTGTTTGAATTTGTTACCCACCTTGGGGACCTGCTGGGACAGGAAAGGGGGAGGTGGTGGAGGGCTGGAAGAGGGGCACGGCCCGCTTGTACTCTCTGTACTCCCAATCCTAGGCCCCGAAATGCCTGGCCCTTGGTTGCTGCTCGCCTTGGCGTTGACCTTGACCGTGGCTGGTATTCCGGGAGGCCGCGCCCAGCCGGAGGTGGCCCAGCACGAGGCCGGTGAGCACGCAGGCCTGGACGACCTCTTGCGCCAGGCAGAGCGCCTCCTCCTCCTCCAGGAAGACCTCCTGCGTCTGCGAGGGAATCAGGACGATGGAGAATCAGGTGAGGGGTGGGTCTGTCCTTCCTACCAGAGGCCCCCGAGAGGGTTAGGGGAAACCCAGATGCAGAGGTGGGGAGCAACTTGGTCATCCAAACTCTTGCCTTTCAGAAGCTTAGAAACTGTTGGCCATAACCTCCGCAGGATCATGAGCTGACCTTTTTCTGAGATCAGATTTCTATTCCATGCCCATCCTGGGAATGTTTTACAGAGAGCAGGCTTCCAGTGGGGAAGATTCTGTGCAGGGGATAGAGAAAAAGTCTCTCTGTATGTGACAGTTTTAATTACTACTTATTAGACTCGTATATGCCAGGCACTGTTCTAAGCCCTTCAAACACTTTATCACACTATTTAATCATCCTAACAAGCTCTTAGACTGATACCGTTATTACTCATTTTACACAGAAGAAAACTGAGGCTCAGGAAGTTAAGTAAGTTGCTTATGGTCACACAGCTAGGGGGTGGCAGAGCTAGGACTAGAACCAGAGGTCATGCCTTTGACCATCTGTGATGTCTAAGAGGCTGTACAAGGCTGTGACTCTGTATGAGTGCTGCAGGGAATCTGCCTTAAGTAGGAGCAAGGCTGGAGTGGGCACTTGGGGGTCAGGAGGTCCCTCACTGGCCCCTTTCCTTCCCCAGAGTCCCAGATCATTCAACCCGACTGGCTCTCCAAGCGTCAGCATCCTGGCAAAAGGGAGGAGGAGGAGGCAGAAGACGGAGTTGAAGAGGAAGAAGAAGGAGGGGCCATGGGCCCCCACAAGCGGCAGCACCCTGGCCGGCGGGAGGATGTGGCTGCATGGTCAGAGGTAACCCAGCAGAAGCGGCAGCACCCTGGCCGGCGCTCCTCCTGGCTTGGGTACACTTTCACCAAGAGGCAGCACCCAGGCAGACGGCTGGCGGATCCCAAGGCCCAAAGGAGCTGGGAAGAAGAGGAAGAGGAGGTGGAGGAGGGAGAGCTGATGCCTGAGAAACGCCAACATCCGGGCAAGAGGGCTCTGGGAGGCCCATGTGAGCCTCAGGGAGCCTGTGGTCAAGCCAGCCTCCTGCTGGGGCTCCTGGATGACCTGAGCAGGGGTCAGGGGGCTGAGGAGAAGCGGCAGCATCCTGGGCGGCGGGCGGCCTGGGCCAGGGAGCCCCTGGAGGAGTGAACCCAGCTTCCTATCAAGTTTGGGGTCTAAGAATGTCTTAAGTCCTGTGGGTCCTATTCCCTTTGTGACCCCTTCTTTCCCTCCTCCTTAGATCCCTGACCATAAACCCGAGCCCCCTGTATGTACAACACCCAGTTCCCTGGCCTTGTTCCCCCTCCCCCTTCAGGGACATGAGAACGGGAGCCTGAGTTAAAACCCTGGATTTCCCCACTTTGCCCTGTTGGCAGGGGACAGATCCCAGAGTCCCTCTCCCCGCACCCCCACAGGCTGCTCCCCTTCCTTAGCCCTGGCTAAAAATGACCCTTCTGTGTCTTTTAAGGGATCCCCCGAGAGGAGCAGGGTGACTGGGTCCAGCAGCCAGTGAGGTCAGGGTGGGATTGAAGATGTGATGTCCAAATCCAGTTTCTGTCCCCTGCTCCATGAGTCAAGATTTGCCACATGTCAACTTTATTTACCTCCAGAACTGGGGGTCTCCTCTGCTTCTTGGGCCTCTTTTTTGTGGGTGTGCAGAGCCCTGACCCATGGCTATGTTCTGCTTAGGGGAATGATGGCAGGTGGAGGCATCCTGTGCTGTGCTGTGTGGCGGTTGTGGGAATAAAGATGTGCGGGCGTATGTAAACAGCCCTGAATGCTGAACTTGTATATAACCCTCTAGCCGCCTTCCCCTTGTCCGTGATCATCATCTGAATGATAATAAAACATGCATCCAGATAATCTTGGAGTTCTGTGGCTCTAGTTTTTTCTCAGCTGGTGTGGGGTTTCTAACATTGAGGGGGACAGGATTAAGGCTCCTCAGTTCTGTTGAGAAGGGCATCAGGGCTTGTAATCGTCATGGTTCAATGGCAAGAATCAACAATCTGTGTCATCCAGCAGAGACAATGAGGACATAGGACTAGGCTGTGGTTGGGAACTCAAACTAGCAGCCTTCTGGGCCTGGGCAGGAAAGCAAGCCGGGTGCAGGACAAGAGGGACTGGGGCAAAATGAAGAGGCCAGCTAAGTGGAGACACTTAAATCCAAACACTTGAACATCATGTGAATCAAATAATAACAACAACGTATACACAACACTTGTTATGTGTCAGTCACTGTCCTGAGCAATTTACATATACTAATTCTTTTCTTTTTTTTTTAGTGTTTTATTTTTTTAAGTAATTTCTACACCTAACGTAGGGCTTGAACTCCCAACCCTGAGATTGGGAGCTGCAGACTCCTCCGACTGAGCCAGCTGAGCTTCCCTATATTAATTCTTTTAGTCCACACAATAATCCCTCTAGGTAGTATTACTATTATTATGCCCATTTTCCTGATGAAGAAACCAAGGTACAGAAAGGCTAAGTAACTTGTCTGAAGCTGAGTTTGGCCCACTCACTGCTGGTTTGCAACCTCTGATTTAAACTGGCCTCCGAGGGGTACCAGGGTGGCTTAGTTGGTTAAGCAGTTAAGCCTCCGACTCTTGATTTTGGTTCAGGTCATGATCTCACGGTTTGTGGGATCAGACTCCTCGCTGACAGAACAGAGCCTCCTTGGGATTCTTTCTCTTCCTCTCTCTGCCCCTCCCCAGCTAGCTCTGTCTCTCACTCTCAAAATAAAAACACAAAAACAAACAAACAAACAAACAAACAAACAAACTGAATTCCCAAATTTTCTCAGGCCTTAGACTCTGAATTAGACCACCATTTGTTTGGTGGATGGATGAGCTATTCGGCTTTTCTGCAAAACAGCTTTTGGTCACTTTCTTGGGCAGTGGAAGGAGGGGGCTAGAAGGGTATCTGAGCTCCAGCTCCTCTCCTTGGGGGACACATGGTTCAGGTGTGGTTGGGACAGAGGAAGACTTGTGGTTTATTAGATGCATGCACACCCACATCTCCAATATTATTCCCCAAAGCCCTCTGAAACATTAAGTATTTGATGGATTTGTGGATTTTCTCACTTTCAGATGAAAGAACCAACACAGAGACTAGTGTCTTGCCCCAGGGTGCATGAAGCATGTAGGGCTGGCCTTCCTTTATGCCTGACTTTCCACCCCACTGGGCTGCCTTCCTCTGGAAGGTCTTAAGACAACCTTAAAACACCAGTTGTCACCATCAGGGCAAGTGGGGCCCTAATAACATTCCCTCTGCTCACAGTACCCCTCTGAAAGGTGAGTGCCCTAATAGAGGCAATGTGGACCACTGATACAGTACTTCCTTGGTGCTCAGTGCTTATAGACACTTTCTCAGTGAATCTTGTGACCACCCCAGGACAGTTACCATGTCCATGCAGTTGAAGAAAGTTGAGCTGAATAAGTGGAGCCCTTGACCAAGGATATACTCTACCCTCTTCCGCTTCCAAATTTGATTGACGTGGGAGGTGGTGTTTCCTCCTCAGATATGGGAAGACTTGAAGAGTGTGAGAAACCCACCTCCTAGCCATTTAAGGTTTTTCCCTCTGCTCCTGTGAGTGATTGTACCAATGCACATGATGGAAAGGATCGGGCATTGGCTTCAGTCCCGGACAGATGATTAAACTAGTTGGAGCCTCAGTCTTCTCATCTGTAATATGGGCACAGCAATCCCTACGCCTCCCTCAGAGTTTTTCTAAGAAGTAAATGGGATGCAGTAATATGCGTACAGTCCTTGCACAGTGTGTGGCCCCAAGTAGACCATTGATAAACAGCATTTTGAGCTCTAGCGCCCCAGGACCAGAGGGACTCAAAACTGAACCTTGCAGAACAATTTACTCTTTCTTTCATTCATTCTCCAATCACACACACACACAAAGTAAAACAAAACAAAACACATTTAAAAACAAAAATCAGTTACGGGCGCTTTATTATGAGTCCATGCCAGGAACTGGAGCTTTATGGGTCTATGTGCTGCTCCCCCAAATACTCCCTCTCCTTCCCACTCTTATACTGGTGCCTTTTGCCCAGCTTAGGATGCTGAGACAGAGATGCTCCACATGCTTCCCTAAACTCCCCCAGCCTCCCTTGCACTTGGGGTGAAGTCATGACTAGCCCTGGCCAATGAGCTGTGAGCAGACAGGTGTCACTCCCCAGCTGAGGCAGTTAGAGCCCATGAGTCTCCCTTACCCCTTTCTTCCTGCCTTAGAAGCCTGGGGGGGCCACATGTTGAGATGGCAGAACACATGATGGGAGGATTCTAGACCCCAGAGTCACAAGGTAGAAGTTAGACGCTGCACACCCACATCAGACTTCTCACGTGTGAGAAATAAACTCATATTAAGTCACTGAGATTTCAGGGTTTGTTTGTTACCGTGGCTGACTTAGCCAATCCTGACTAACACAGATGCCTCCTCCCTTGGTCTCTCTCCACTGAAATCCTTCCCATCTTTCCTTTCTCACATATGTCTGCCTTTATTGAAGCTGCTTAGATCAGGGCCCAGCATGAAATAGGTGCTTCACTGAGTGGATGTGGAAAGCTTCAGGTTACTTCTATCTTAGGTCCCCCAGCCTAACTTCCTGGGGATCCCTGCCCTTAAGGGGCTCCCTTGCCAGTAAAGAGACAGACAAGCAAACAGATGATGGCCATTTAGGGTAAGAAGTGTTGATTTTGGTGAGCAAAGCATGCAAGGGGAGCACAGATGAGGGGTCATTGGGTGAACAGGCTTCCCGGAGGGGGAAGCATCCAAGCTGAGTCAAAGGATAAACAAAAGGAAAGACATTTCAGGCAGAAGAAAAGAGCTTTAACAAAGGCTTAGTGGGAAGAAATAATGTGTTATTGGAGTTGCTAACATCTGAAATCTGAGGTATTTTGGATCCTCCCTTTCCTCTTCCACCTTGTCCTCTAGCCCTGAAGGGGATGTGACTCATCCAGGCTTTGTGCCTTATCCAGTCCTCCCTCTCTCTCCCTAGTTCAGTCCAGTCCCCACACAGGGACTCAGACCACCATGGTTTGGATGTGTAAGAAAGCAGTGTGGTTTGGAGTGGAATCAGGGAAGGCTTCATTGGGGGGAAGGGACAGCTTTGAAGGATGAAAGAAAAAAAAAAATTCCTGAGCACTTCCTCTGGGGCCAAACATTAGGAAAAGTACTCTTTTTTAAATTTCATTATTTTTTTTATTAGAGAGAGAGAGGGCGCTGGGGAGGGACACAGGGGGAAAGAGAATCTCACGGCAAGTTTCATGCTCAGTGTGGAGCCAGATGGGCGGGTGGGGGGGCGGGGACGCTGGCAAGTTGTCGTGACCCATAAACCATGAGATTATGACCTGAGCCGAAGTCAGACACTTAACCTATTGAGCCACCCAGGCACTTCTAGAGCCTTCTTCTCTCCTACTTTTTATATTACCTGTGTTCCCTTCTATGCGTCTTCCTGCACTGTGGAGGTTGGAAAGCAAAGACTATATTTCTCAGACTCCCTTGCAGCTAGAGTCTTGGATTCCACAGTAAGTTCTCCACATGGACGCTTTCATGTGAGATTTGGAAGGCTGCTTTGACTACTTACTCCTGCTGAAAAGCAGGGCTATAGTGAGGTGTGATGTTTCTGCAACAGCTTTCTGGTATCCAAACGCTAGCTTTGGAAGTATCTAGAGTCAGTTATGGATAGCAGCTTTCTGTCCAGCTTCACAGCTTTACCAGTATGGTTTTTTTCTTTTTCTTTTCCTTCTAAAACAACTTTATTAGGCATATGTTTTACATGTAAAAATTACCCTGAATTGCAGGCATACAATTCAATGATTTTTAGTAATTTTTTAAAAACATTTTCAGACCCCCAGTAGGGTAATGCTTACAATGAATCTCTCTCCCTACCATCAGCCCCAGGCAGCCACTTACTACTTTTTCTCCTATCAATCTGTCTTTCCTAGACATTTAGTACATATAGAATTATTCAATATGTGGTTTCTTGTTCCTGGCTTCTACCAATTAGCACTTTTTTGAATTTCATCCATGATGCAGCATGTTTTGATAGTTTGTTCCTTTTTATTGCTGACTAGTGCTCCAAAGAGTGAGTTGTCAAGTTCAATAATCCCAATGGCTGTCTCCTCATTTCCCACTTTCCTGA